AAAGCTTTCAAAACAAAAAAGATACAAGCACGCAAAAAAAGTCCGGATAATTATGCATCAACCTATAGAAGCATAGAAGGAAGTTAAAAATTAGTTTCCTATTTAGACAAAAATTCAAACGTCGCCAAGCCTACCTGTAAAACAATGATAAAAGACCAGAAGTTCCAGAAACTTTCGAAAGAAGGACGAAACTCGGTGCCACCTGCCATTTCAGACCATGTGAAGAAGGGCACCTCATAGGGTGCAGAAAAACTTCGCATCCACACTCCTAGAAGTGAATTTCAAATTTAATGAAGAGAGGATAAGGAAGGGATAACGCGAAAATACCTGAGAGAACAGCCCCAGTGATACACAGTGTAAGTAGAATCACTACACACCAAATGATATCTAGATTTGTTAGTCGTTCCAATGTACTCCTGGAATATGAAAAGAATTGCGTGAGATTTGAAAAGGAGATATCGAAGTGAAGATAACACGGATTTGAAGTTTTTCTGACACGAATTTCCTGAACATGATTGAAAATTTACCTTTTATAGCGTGGGCCTTTGTTGTTTAACATGGCTTTCGTATCGTTCCCTGAAAATGTCCTCTAGGCGAAAGTATGAGAAAAAGGTCAAGAACTTTGATAGGTTTTGTGCCTTTCTATTGAAGAGTCTACAGAAAAACCGAATTATTCGCGATAGAAGTACGGATTGTTTGCACATAAGTTATGAAGGAAAAAAGCTTATTGAAATGACAAACATTTTGCTTAGAATGAAGCCGCTGACCCATACCTAAGCTAAACGTCATGCTCATTTATCCACCAACATCAGTACTCCTACTAAGGGTATAGCTTTGGGGCATGGATTGTCAGTACATTGTTACATATTTGGTTCAGGTCATATATACTTTCAATGGAAATACAGACAGGCCCGAACACAAAAGCCTTCAACAGTGTTTCTAACATGTCTTTCTCTTGACTCATAATAACGTAATCTCTACCTGTTTTGTTTGGGTAAACTCTCAACTTACATTTTCCTAAGAAAATGACAGTTGCAGTCTGAAATGAGATGTTCGAAAATTTCATTTCATCTCTTGCATAACCAATGGGTAGACCTATCAGGAGCTCTAACTCCGGGTAAACTATTAGCTCTCAAATTTCCTCTCACAATAATATGTGCATGCTAGCGATAACTCGTTCCGCAGCTTTATGGAGAATTTCCACATATGTATAAGTTTATGCGTCCTACCGAATTTAGTGGTAGAGCAAAAAGAAGCACAGCTGAGTTTGAAGAGAGCTGTAACTGTAGCGAGACAAAAAAGAAAAAGACCCCGAAATGGGATTATATAGCTTCAACCTTACAGAATTTGAGAGATGAGTTTAAGATCTTTGACAGACTGCGCAAAATGATAGTCGATTGCGTAGGAATCCATCACACTGGGATAAAAAAGAAGAAAATACCCTTAATACAATAATCTCTTCTTTGAAAAGTAGTAGAATTAATTTTCAATATTCAGCTTTTTACAACGTTGATTGTCACATCCTTAAACACGATCTTCAGTAAAAATTATCTTAGATCTCTGGAAACCTAGGGAAGTATTTTGAGAAAAGATAAGCCAGTCAAACATTTAGCCTGTTCCATTTTGAACTCTGTGCTGTGCTCCCTGTTTTGAATTCAGGAAATTTGCAACAATAACCTGCATATAAAACAATTCCTTCAACAAAATCCGTGTTCTTGACTACACAACCACGAAGAAGCACGTTCTCCTTAGCCAGAATAGTGAATTCACGGGGAAGTGGAGCTCCTGCAAAGAAAAGAATTCTGCACGAGAAGTTCCGCAAAAGTTTTGATGTAAACGAATAGGCGCTAAATTCCACACACAAACCTCCTTCCATTGTTTCCAAACGGCCTTCAAATTTATACACGTCTGTCGTCGGCTCTTCGCAACAGACCTTGAAATAGCTTTAATATAGCAAGAAAAGTAAGGAGCAAAGTTGTTGGAAGGATGACTACCTTGTACTTGAACTGATCAGGAGAGAAATTGAGAGGAACTGTCGGATTGTGAAACTTCCCCATTGCTCGTATGGCTTGCCTTTGTTTAAGGTTACTCTCACCATCCAAGTTGCATGTGTCAACGTAACAAATTCCTTCAAATATAACATGGTGAGAAAAGGTGCAACACATTGCTTTCTGCAATAATTTTATGAGCAGAATGAATGAGTGGAGGCCGTTAGCTATGGATGATCTGCTGCAACAGCAAAGCTTTGATGATCAAGATTAATAATGCCTTTGTGCATTGCCTCATTTTAATTTTTTTGAGTTTTGTTTCTTCGTTTCAAAACGCTCGGTATTTTGCAAATCCACTAAAATGTGCAACGACGATAAGAGCTCTTTAGATTACAACTATCTGTAAATAATCCTGAGATGAAATGTATTACTTAGGTAATACAAGATACAGGATTTTGATCGCAATTTAGTTGATGAAAATGAAAAATAGAGGCTGCTCATTAACAGCAGTGATCCCTCTACTCATACCACGAGTAGAAAGTATCCATGAATTTTAGGAATTTGTTGGACTGAGTATATCATATAGCTATAGTTGAAAAACTAAAAACTGTAACTAGCAACCATTTTTCAGACAAATATAAGGCGCCTCATACGTTGTATTTCTTCATCAATTAAACCTCAAGCAGCTTTAAACAAATTAGAAGCTATCGAAAAGTTATTAAGTGTGTTAATCGTTATAAAATCGATCGCTTATAATCGATTTTTGTGTTGTGTGATAATGCCATTTTCGATCAAAAACTTTTATTATATCTGAAGTAGAAAACAGGTTTTCTTTCACTTACAAAGTTAATAGAAATGTGTCTGCAAATATTTTTGATGTTTTTGAGGATATACATATGCAGTGGAATTCCAAACAGTTGAAATAAATCCTACCGTTGGTGTCACTACTCCGGAGAAGAAGAATGTCTGCAGGAATGATTTCATCATGAGAAAGATGTACAAAGTCGCCAACGAGTATATGCTTCCATTCAAGCTTGCGATACCTAGGTAAAAAAAAAACTTAGCTAGCTCGTTTTCTATTGTCACATTCATTGTGCTGCGTATTCACCTTCCCTGACTCGAGTCCCAAACACGGCACGTTGAATGGTTGATTTTCTGATCGGATTTGTATCGTCGATAATCCTGGAGCGATAGAGTACGTGAAGAGGGAAATTTGGGGCATTCGTGATAGAAACATCATTTGCATTCAACATAACGTCATTCAGCGATACGTGACCAGTTTCTATAATCTAGTGAGCTAACCTCGAACGCATCCTTTATGGCAGTGACTCCAAGTACAAATGAAATCGGCATCAACGATATGTATTTGCCGAATGCTCCAATGATCATATTCAAAACGACTATGAAGATAAAGTATAAGTTTGCGGCTCGATGTAACTGAAAAAGTTTGAGTGAACTCTTAATTATTAGATTTACCCCAACTTCAAGTTTCCGCTCTATTCTAGGGTTTTTGTCTTAACTGGGTGCAGTGTGAAAAGAAACCTTATCAGTCATACCCTTATTTTCCTTATATACTTCATACTATTAT